GACAGAGTTGTCAACTCCTATCTGAATCTGTTGTTCTAAATGTAATGCCTTTGATTTATTTCCATTTGAACAAGTAATTGTATAATGAACAGAAAATGTTAACCATAATGGAGGTAAATAATAATAAATCATATTCAACAATTAATGGGTGATAATATCACATGTCAGGTCAATAATATAGTATTGTGGTCACCATTATAACAAGAGAGAGCTGTGGAAGAAAGGTTTATTCTCCCATTTACATTTCCCCTATTATGGGCATTATTATATCTGTGAGATAATAACATTGTATTTTATGGAAAGAATTGAATGGCTGAAAGGAAAAGGAATGAGAAATATGCTTTATTTTCAGAGAGACTTTTATACCACTAAGACATACACAGAACTATATAAACATATATACATGTGTCCCATTCAGAAAATAATATATCTACACAGTAAGCAGGTTGTAAGAAGTAACAAAATGGAAGGGTTTTACATATATGGAAATTCTTCTGTGTTTCTGGAGAAACCATGTTTAGGACTCCAGTTTCAAATGGACCAAATTCAGCTATTATGTCCTGGGGAGGATATATTCCACAAAGGGGAAATGGTGAGTCTTGGGTTTTCCCCATATTGAGAACTGAGTTGGAGTTTCTATATCTGGGAAAGATATATTCCCATGGACTTGTAAGATGCTGAGGAGGCAGATTTAGCCTCTACCCAGGCTAAAAAACAAAAAAACAAAAAAAAAACTGCTCAATTTGGCTGCTGTAAACAAACTGAATGACTGGCCACTCTCGTCACTGTATGAAGTAACGTCACTAAGTGGCTGGGCTGTGCTGTGACCCATGTAACTTATCTCCACCAAAGGGAGATAATCACCTTCTGTATCCTTCTGATCATTTTTAAAACAGTTAAAATTTTGTTCTTTAAGCAATTGCTTGGTTTAGTTATTAAAAGATTTAAATTTATTTCCTTTGGTAGTCTATGACAATGATATTTGCTATTACTATTTCCAATATTTAAGTAGTAAAATCCCCAAACTTTGTAATGCAAGACTGATATTGGCTTAAATCTGTTCCTCAAATTCTTAGTAGAAATTGACATAAAGTGAATCATAATGTTTAAAACAGAACTCAGTTAAGTGAGAGTTTTCTGTTTAAATATTCCTCAATTGACATCTGATTTGTCTAATGTCAGAGTAATTAAAAAAAAATATCTCCAAATGTTAAATTTGGACAACAAGAACATGTTAATTTAGAGTGTTAATTCATTTCAATCTGCTGATCCATGTAAATGTCCTTAACATGTCAACAGTACTTAGGTGACATTTCCTTTGACTTATCTAAAGACCTATATATCTAATTATATATATCTAATTACATACATGTAGGTTGATACTATTCTCTATGATGGGTTTGTGGAGACAATTCAGTATTCAGTCAAATCTTTGTGAAATGATCTTTCAGATGATATACCACATATATATTTATATAGATAAACCATTTGGAGTAGGAAAATTATTATGTGGATTCCAATGCAAATATAGAGAATCCTTCAATGTGAGTTTTGTTTCAGGATAATATTTAGTTGTCATGACGAGTATATAAATTAATGTTTAAGCAAAGCTAATTTTAATATAGTAAAACTAGAATTATTAATATATTTTTGTCTATTTTATAGTAAATCAGCTCTTTTATTATAGTCTTGACTAACTTTACATTGTGTGGAGGTGGTGTAATGGATAACAGTTCAGAATAGGAATCTGAGTTCAAATGCCAGTCAGGTTCATTACATTCACTTACATGTAAATATCCATGGGAAAAGTATGAACTCATCTCCCCCTCAATTATGGATTAAATAATAGGACATGTATCAGCAAAAACAATTGTTGGTCTCAAAAAATTGTTAATTCGGTATTCACATGTAAAGAAAAAATTATTTTTACACTTCAAAATGTCTTTTGGCTTTAAATAACCCAAAAAAGGGTTGATAAACTGTTACCGCCCTCCAAAAAAACGGATTAGTTAATCCATTCCTCAAAGAACACACTAACAGGAATACACTTACATATTAATTGCATTTAAAATACACTTACATATTAATGATCATGAATCACTAGTCTTTAATTATGGGTTTCTAAATAATGAACAAAATTTTCCAACTACAGCCAATAGCAAATACCATCGGTGCTTGCAAAATGCTAAAAACAAACTAATTTGTTAGAATAAAAATATTCAAATTTCAGATGTTTTCATTTTTCATCATTTTTTATTCAGATAGCACTTTTTGCTGCAGTCACCACTCTACTCCATCTTAAAATTGCAATTCATGGTGACATTTAAGGCAAAGTAGTGCAAGGGCTTGCTGCTTCCTTTTGCAGTGGGGGATGTTGAGATTACCCTGTTCTTCCTGCCAGAAGTTAAAGAGGCAAGATCTACAAGGCAGCAGATAGTTTGAATTCAGAGTTTTCCTTCTCCTAGACTGGTTGCCAACCAATGCTATAGAGCCTAGCCTATTCTGTTATTTAGCCTAAGCTGGGAGGAAGAGATAGATTTATACCTTTCCCAAGTGAATGCAATGGGATTTGAGCTCTGCTCTCTGATTCCTCAACCTGAGTCGTTATCCATTACTCCACTTTTGTGTTTTTTATTTTCACGTGATTAAAAAATAATTAATTTTTATTTTTATGTTATTAAAAATAACTAACAGTGATATCCAATGAAGGGGGACTTAATTGTAATATTGCAAATAAAACCAAAACATTGCAAGTTCTGAATTCGCAGGCAAGTAGAATGATTCATAATAAAAGTACACAAGCCATTTGACTAGATCAGCACTTAAAATATTTCCTCTCTTAAGTAGGTCTTTTCTTTATCAAACCTAACATTTTCTATTTAGTGCATGAACAAATTGTATTTACCATAAAAAAATAAAATACTTAAAAGAAAAGAACCTCAAGTGTCTTATTCGTCATATGAAATTTGCCTGACTGTACATTTTAGACATTTAGGAAAATGTTCAAAGCAAAACCAAACTGATTGGTACAATCACCAACCAAACCTCCTTTCATAGTAGGGGGGGTGATTGCTTGTTATTAGTAAACACAGTAAATAACTGTTATAGTCAATTCATGGGTTTTTAGACATTCTTCAAAATCAGCTCAAATATTTTGGTAGAGAAAACAAAATAATTTGTTATATCTTTACATTCTCCATCATTTGTTTAAAAATAGTGAGAGAATAACATTTCCTTAAATTACAGTGTAGTTAAAATCCTGTTCTTCCATATTTTTCATTGGTTTTTGCAAATAGCTTATAAATTGAGCTAAATTTATAAATAGTTGTTGGTTGGTAAGTTATAAGAATACTAATGTACCTGTGCTGTCAAAAATGATGGCAATTGAAAGAAAGTTTTAATAGTGAGATGCAATGAAATAAAAGTCTTGAAACAATGTAGTGAAATCCAATAAAGTGAAGATAAAGAATTCACAACTAAAATAGAAGGTCAATGAAGCATTTAATTAATCTGTTCCCTTTATCATTTTTAGACATTCAATGATATCTATGTTTCATTGATTACTCCTGTTATTATATAAATTTTTGCTCAATATCTTTTCATAGTAAAAATTTTATATGTTTAATATAACAGTGAAATGAAAATATCTATCAGAAGAAAAAGATTACTTACAGAACAACAAAGCCTATTTCAAGATCAAGTTGAAGCAAGACAATCACTTTATAGACAAAGATATCTGAGTGCCTTACATGAAAGGCTTGAACAAATAAGACTGCAATCTAAGAAACAAAGGAGTAAAGAAACTAAACAGTTTATTTTGCTTAGGAAGTAATTTTGTCTAAATGCAGATAAATATTTGTATAGATTATTAAAACAACTATGGAAAGTAATCACTCATAAATTTGCTAACTTAAGTTGATTTACCTCCCTTCCAACTACAAATGAGACAAGAAATATATAAATATACATTGATAATTATTATATAGTTTGATTCACTTGATTTAAGGTCATCAAGAGTTTAAAAAATGGTTTACTTTGATATAAGTAACAGAAAAAAAAATGTAACTTTTACATTAATAAATCAATCAAATAACTTAATATAGTTATTTTAATTAATGTAATTTAGTTCTGCAGGAAGTGTATGATAAAAAAAGGGATTTGAATTTTCTCTATCCAAATAAAATACATAAATTGAAAATTTAAAAAAATTTTATGAAAATATATAATAACTACATATCTTAATTATGGGCACATGGCTGAATGGTTAGAACATACAATGTTCTGACCATGAGACCCAAGGTCAATTTATCAGGAGGGTGACTACTTGATGTTATAAGTCTGGAGGAGGTGATCCCAGCATGTAGTATCTGTGGAAAGTACCTGAAATTGGGTAGATGGAACTCTTTGGGAGCTGTTGATTGTTGTGCTAGCATGAAGTCACAAATCATTGTGACTGAGGATTTGAGTGTGTTGGCCTTGCTTCGACTGTTGATCATGCTAGATAATGCACCCTCTCCCAGAAACTGTAACCAAAGTCAGGTGGGCAACATAGTTGCAGTATATACCATCAGGTGGGCAACATAGTTGCAGTATAAATCATCAGGTGGCCAACATAGTTGTAGTATATACCATCAGGTATTGAATAAAGACTAAATGTGCTTGAGCAGGAGTTTGCAAGAGAGGTTGATATAAGTGGCCAGCCATTATCATTATATATATTAATACCTTTAATTTTGATAAAAATTTACTGGTAGATTTATAAAGTGTGTGTGTGTGAATTTTCATATTTTTCATTAAATTATAGAACCAATTTATTTCACAACTATGTTGTCTCCAAACTGGAAATCAAAAAATAAAATCAAAAATAGAAATGTGAAACACAAATACCTGCCTGTATAGATAGCCTATAAATTAAAACTATTTTAAAATTCAAATATTAAAGCAAGAATTTCAATTATTAAAGAGAAAATAAGAAATATTCTAAAATCTTACAGTAAAATTCATAGAGTATAACAAAAATCTGCTAGGCCTTGGAAATTATTTTCCTCAATATATGTAAGGAAAAAAGGGAAAAAGAAAAAAAAGGAAAAAAGGAAAAAAAGAAGGAAAGAAGGAAAAAAAAAGAAGAAAAAAGGAAAAGAAGAAAAAAGGAAAAGAAGAAAAAAGGAAAAGAAGAAAAAAGGAAAAGAAGAAAAAAGGAAAAGAAGAAAAAAGGAAAAGAAGAAAAAGAAAAGAAGAAAAAGGAAAAGAAGAGAAAAGGAAAAGAAGAGAAAAGGAAAAGAAGAGAAAAGGAAAAGAAGAAAGGAAAAGGAAAAGGAAAAGGAAAAAGATAAAAGAAAAAAGAAAAGGGAAAAAAAGAAAAAAGGAAAAAGGAAAAAGAAAATAAAAGAAAAAGAAAAGACAAAGAAAAGACAAAGAAAAGACAAAGAAAAGACAAAGAAAAGACAAAGAAAAGACAAAGAAAAGACAAAGAAAAGACAAAGAAAAGAAAAAGAAAAGAAAAAGAAAAGAAAAAGAAAAGGTTGGGGAGGTGGACCAAGTATTTTACAATTAAGTGATCCGCCCATTTTAGTGATTAACATAATTTCTATCTTTGCGAAATGTCCTTAAAAGGGGAAAAAAGAAGGATCCATTATCATCTATAGATGGTGGTGAGATATACAGGTCATTAAACTATATGAATACTAAACTGACACAATTTAGAAATTTATTAAGCAGAATTTTTTGTTTTTACATTCTTGGCCCAACCCATTTCCCCAAAATTTGGTCAAACACAAGATTTTGGGGGATGAGATACTTTGCTTGGCTGATAACTTTTCAAGATTTCCTAATATGATTTTAATTAGCTGAAATAATTTTAAGCAAAAAATAACTATTTTCAAACTTCATACTCATGAATAAACTGCATTCATACACATTATCTGTCTGTGTGAATTTTTATTACTGAATAAAAATTGTCTGTTTCTGCCTGTAAAACATACAAAATATATTCCAAACACACACACATATCTATCTATCTATATATATATATATTAAACTATGAAAGGTTCCAAACACCAAACATTATCCACAATTCCTGTGGTCAATGATAAAACATTAGAGCCTTTAGATTTATGAAAAATTTGTTAAAAGTTAAACAGTTACAGCCTAGAAATACAACATTCTTTCACATAAGAAGCCATTTTTTCCAAGTTTCTTTAATAATTAGCTATTAAATATCAGTATTAAATTAGATAATAGCATCAAAATAAAAAAAAAAACACATGTTAGAATAAAAAATAAGTAAATATGTAACCTAATTAAGGAATGGTTATAGAAAGAGTACAAAAATTCAATTGGTTAAAATTCTATGAGAAATTGAGTGGTAAGAATTGAGAATAATAAGACACAATGTTTAAATATAAAAAGGATACAAGATTACATATAAATTTTGTTGCTAATAAATAATTAAACCGTGGTATATATAGAAATAATATTATCTTCAACACTCTAAATGATATTAAAAACTTGGAAAAGGTATGAATCCACCTCTTTTACCCCAGATATGAGTTAAATAATGGGACTTGTATCAGAAAATAATTATTATCTCTCTCAAAATTCTTACAATCCAAAAATATTTGCAGGCTTTAAATAACCTGCAAAATGCTGATAAGCCATAAAAACAAATCAAACAATCAATCTAAATGAGAGTAAATTATAAAACAAAAATGATTAACACACACGTGTGTGTGTCTGAATAAAGACAAAAGTAAAACGTATTTCACCAACACATTTTATCTTGGCAGACTTTATCAAGGTAAATGTGAGGATTTTATTTTGCAACAAGTATTCATAAACAAAAGTAAAAATGTTAGTTTTTCAAAATTTTTAAATTTAAGAAATGCTTGTAAATATTCACCAGGTAAACAGGAAAGTCTAGTTAAATTATGGAGGATGTTAAGTGACATAATTTAATGTCTAATAAATGAAAGTGAGTAAATGATGCTGAATTTTTTTTTGTCTTGAGGACAAAATGCATTGACTAAGTTTTTGTTTTGTCTATATTCATATTGTCCTTTTACAGATACATTATAGTTATATCTGAAATATATATATATATATATATATATATATATCCCCCTCACACATGTTGGTTTTTAGAGCTGTTCTGAAGCAAATCACTTAAAAGATGGAATTTTAAAAATTGAACATATTAATTTTACAACTTTTTTGTGACAATTGTATTTGAAGGAAATGTTAAAAGTTACCTTGTAGTTGTGTTACATGACATAATTACGATGTATTTTACATCAACCTATAAGTTGTGAAAATGATATTTAGAAAAAAATATTTAAAAATGTATCAAAGTAAAGAGAAAATACAATTTCAAGAGCTGAATTCCATATTCTAATAAAGGGAATTTCTCATCTTACAGGAACATTAATTCTGAATGTATTGCTGCCATATTGTTGGTATTTATTCACCAGATAAGGGTTTATTTTTCTTTTATAAAACAGTACTTGTTTTTTATACATTAAGATAATTAAATGAAAGACAAAGCTATAAGAAGAATTGAAGAAGGACATTAAAAAAAAAAAATGATGGAAAAGAATGAAAGCGTGGAAAAATGAAGGGAATTACAAAGTAAATGAAGGGAGAAGTAAAAAATAAATTAACAGAAAGACCAAAAAGAAATGATTATAGACAAAGGCTGCTCACCTGAATCCAAATCTTCATATTTCTCCACCAGGGTGTGATACATATCAACAAGTGTCATCATTTAACTTGTGTGATTTGGTCAGCTTTAAGCTGACCAAAATAATCACAAAATGTTTCACCAGCCAATTTAAGGAAGTACAATTTTAATATTCTATAGAATGCACTAGTTTTGATCCTAGTCTACAAGAACTCTGTGCAGAGGCAAGTGGAATGAATATTTTGGGATAATAATAAAATAAAAATAAATAACAGATGATAACAGACTGTTAAAAACAAGTGTTAATAAAATAAGAACATAAGAAAAAAACAAAACAAAATCTATCCCATTGGCATCAGAGATTTAAAAAAATTATATAAGTAAAGAAACAAATAAAAATAAACACTATTAAAAAAAGACAAAAAATAAAATAAAATGTTAAAAAGAAAAAAAAAAAGAAAAAGGAAGAATGAAAAGGATAAAGGAAAAAAAAAGTTGCTAGACAGCTGTTGGATTATTTAAAAACACTGAAGAATTTTCAAACTTATATTTTGATGAAAAGAAGGAAAACAATATTTTCTTTTGAGAGACACCACTATAACCATAGATTAATTAGAATAATAAAGAATGGTAATTCACTGCCAATCCATTCTGATATGCAAAGGAAGAAGCCAGGGATGTGTTCTGTACTTCCTCTGTGACAGCTGTTATGTTAGGTGATGCTGCTGCTACTGCCGCCGCCACCATCAGTGCTGATGCTGTTGTCGTTGCTGCTTTAATCAACATCTGTAGTGTCATGGTATTTACTGGCTTCGACAGTGCAGCAACTTGTATTTGAGTGAAAGGAGCAGAGGAAAATAAAAGAAAGTTGTGTTGTTGTCACCAAGGCAACGACACAACGCTTGATGCCTGTCTCTTCCTTTCTGACTAAACACAAAAGAACAACTTCTTAGCCAATTGGATGCTGACACTGCTTCTGCCATGGATAGAATGAACAAATACAAAAAGTTCTAAAAAGGATGAAGAAGAGGAGCAGAAAAAGAATTTGGAATGGGATAAAATACAGGAAAGAAAAACGAAGATGTGAGAAGGAGAAAGAAAAAGATGGTTTTTTCTTCACTTGTTGATGTCAAATGCACACTTATTTTGAAGGGGGTGACATAGCAAGTTGGTATTTTTTATCAGACACACTTTGTATTGTACAGAAGGTGTTCTGTGTAATTAGAATGTTGTTGTTGTTGTTGGTGGTGGTGGTGTGGGTGTTCGTTACACTCTGACAATGCTCCAAAATGCTCAAAATGACAGTTGTGGTAATGGTAGTCTGTCAATGGTAGAAGTGTGGAAGGTGTTGTTGGATAGCATCAAAGTTACCAACAAGTCAATGGCAAGTGAATGACATGCAGATCAGCAATTACTTCTGCAATCGATTCTAAAAGACAGATTTCTCTCCTACAAATCCCGGTCCATTGAAGCCATTGAAAGTTGTCTGTTCAAGCAGAAAACAATCCTGTTGACTGTCATTGTAGCAGAGAGAAGAGAGAGAGAAGGTGAGCAAGTCTGGACGATGGAAGAGAAAATGGAAAGACAAAAATGAGAGAAGAAGTGAAATAAAGGAGACACAAACAAAGGATAGACAGTCAAGTTGTAAAGATAAATGACAGAAAAGTGGAGAAAGGTTAGGGTTAGGGTTTAGGAAAAAGACTATATGGACAGAGAATAAGAAAAAAGATCAAAAAGCAAACTAAACAGTAAGAAAAGGGTTGGAGTAAATCAAGATCAGGCTCAAAAATGAAAAAAAAATGGGAAGGGAAGAAAAAAAAAAAGAGAAAATACAGAAAGAAAAACAAAGTCAAAGCCAAAGAGCAAAACAGTAAGAAAAGGAGTGTAGAGAGTAAATCAAGATCAGAGGAGGCTCAAAAATGTCAAAAAAAAAAAATGGGAAGGGAAGAAAAAAAACAGAGAGAGAGAAAATACAGAAAGAAATGTAGGAGAAAGTGAGAGTCAAAGCGAAAGAGGAGAGGAGTGTAGAGAGTCAAAGCGAAAGAGCAGAGGAGTGTAGAGAGTCAAAGCGAAAGAGCAGTGTAGAGAGTCAAAGAAAAGAGTGTAGAGAGTCGAAAGAGCAGTGTAGAGAGAAAAGAGCAGTAGAGAGTCAAAGCGAAAAGAGCAGGTAGAGAGTCAAAAGCGAAGAGTGTCAAAGTTAAAGAGCAGTGTAGAGAGTCAAAGGAAGAGCAGTATAGAGAGTCAGTGTAGAGAGTCAAATAAAAGAGCGAAAAGAGCAGTGTAGAGAGTCGAAGAGCGAAAGAGCAGTGTAGAGAGTCAAAGAGCAGGTAGAAAGAAAGAGCAGCAGTGTAGAGAGAGTCAAAATGAAAGAGCAGTGTAGAGAGTCTTAAAGAGCAGTGTAGAGAGTCAAGAGGAAGAGCAGGTAGAGAGTCAAAGCTAAAGAGCAGTGTAGAGAGTCGAAAGAGCAGTGTAGAGAGTCAAAGGAAGAGCAGTGTAGAGAGTCAAAGGAAGAGCAGTGTAGAGTCAAAAAGAGCAGTGTAGAGAGTCAAAGCGAAAGAGCAGTGTAGAGAGTCAAAGCGAAGAGCAGGGGAGAGAGTGTAGAGAGTCAAAGCGAAGAGCAGTGTAGAGTCAAAGCGTAAAGAGCAGTGTAGAGAGTCAAAGGAAGAGCAGTGTAGAGAAAGTCAAAGGAAGAGCAGTAGAGAGAGCGAAGAGCAGTGTAGAGAGTCAAAGCAGTGTAGAGAAGAGCAGTGTAGAGAGTCAAGGAAGAGCAGTGTAGAGAGAGTCAAAGCGAAGAGCAGTAGAGAGTCAAAGCGAAAGAGCAGAGAGTCAAAGGAAGAGCAGTGTAGAGAGTCAAAGCGAAAGAGCAGTGTAGAGAGTCAAAGCGAAAGAGCA